TCCCTCTTTAATTGTCTTATAACAATAACCAACTCGTTTTCTAACATCATTTGACCGAGAACACAACATTAGATCTTCTTTAAATATAATTAACATACACTTTTAAAGAATCTTTTCAAATCACCTTGCACACTTTTCTTACTTTTATATCAAAATTGTCATCTACACTTCCATATAACCTTTATCGTATCTGATCATTTAACTCATCCCTTTCATTTCTTTATTCCATTATTCCTCTATTTATTCCTTATACCCAAATCATATATTTCCTTTCATGTTCATATACTCTTGTCTTATCACCTATACTCATCTCTATGTACCAATCTTCATGGCATCCTCATAACTTTGATAACCCATTTACTTATACAAAACTTCATTCTTTATCATTTCTTATACTTGTATTTTCCTTCCTTAAGGTTCCATGCAAATACTTATCTTCTTTTCTACATCATAGCTATCTGATCAGAATACACAACTATATTCAGTTTCACATCATAATTGATTAACTCAACTCTATCTTTTCCTCCAATTTTATAACCCTATCACCTTTACTCTAACAGCTAGTCAATAACATCTGTCCAATCTAGGGCACAAGCCCTAGTCAACCAATCATATACATTCTTTTCAATCGAAATTATCTCAAAATTAGTTTATTTAACTTATCAATTTCACCTCTATTCTCATACATCCTGTAATTTCCGTTGCTCAAACTCAATATTCTGACTGTCTTTGTCTTATAATCTGATCATCGATATACTCATTCTTAAACTCTTCTTATAAATCCTCAAATTTACTCAAATATGCAAATCCTTACTTCTTTTTCCTTTACTATACCACATTACTATGATCCAAATATACAACTGTATCCAGATCCATTTCATATTTGGTTATCATATCCTGATAATATCTTATAATCTTATAATTCCAGTACATTTTATCACGTACTCTGGTTAGCCAACGCTAACTCTTTCCGTCTTAACTACAAACCCTTATCATATAAACACTCTTGCTTCTACACAATACTATCCCTTCGTTTCGAACTCATAAGCTCTGACTTTATACATTTTATACGCTTGTCACTGATACACTTATTCTTGAACTCTTCTACCAATTCTCACTGCATCATTTGATCTTTTAACGCTCTTATGGTGACACTTGTTCATCTTATTTTATCTTATCCACGAAATAATAAAACTACTCCCTATCACTTTTCCGATTCAAAACAATGAAAACTTGCTATCACTATTCTAATATGATTTTAACTTTATGAAATCAATCTTTGATCTTATAAGGCATTTCCTGATGTGTCCGCTCTTCATCTTGCCTGGCCAGGGCAGGTGAATTGCTATAACAATCATATTTACCTCTCACTTCATTTCGAAACTATTGCTATCAGATTTCTACAATGTCATACTATTCTTATTCTATTAGAAAGACAATATACTCCTTACACTTATCAGATCAGAAATTATTGACTATGTGTTGGTATATACACATTTTAAATCTCATTTAACTTCGGTTTAAGCCTAGAATCGGCTAAACCTTAGCTCTGATACCATTAAATGTAACACTCCCAACCCGTATCTGACTCGGATCCGAGTCCGAAGTGTCACATTGACTTTTCAAAACCTTTACTTGTAAAAAATAGTGAGTAATTTAAAATTTATTATTACATATAACTTATTCAAAACTTTACCAAACTATTCAGAGCTTATACAATATATTATTTTGAATACATACCAACTAGAACTTTATATATTAAAATAGATATTATTCACCTTTCTTCTGATCTGACTTTTGGTAAGGAGAACTGACCTGTCTGGCTCCACATTGCTCTTTACTCTTCTCACTTCGGTAACCTGCGTGTGAAACAATCACACGCTAAGTCTATGACTTAGTGAGGCAATAAACATAAAAATATAAACTATAGCTTGTAATCATGCATGAACAATTATTACTATCACTCATACCCTTATTCATGTAACAAATCCCTATAACACATATGCAATATATCATTATATATAAGAACATATACACACATATATTCATCACTCATCATTTCCATCATTAGCCTTATTTCATTATCAATATTATTATCGTTTATATCACTTAATACATATTATCTTATGCCTAGCATTTTAACCAACATTTAATATATTTATTGTAATTTCTTTATTAGCCCATTTACACATGTGAGAACTATAGATATGTGAGTCTATAGAGGTTGTGCACTAATGTTGTCACCACAGCTCGTATAAATGCACCGAAGTGCCACATAGAATTTGCACCGTAGTGCCGTGTAGAAATGCACCGAAGTGCCATATAAAGTTGTCCCTAAGGACCACGTAGAAAATTCCTTAAGAATCATATACATATGCCAAGGATCAAGTATGTGTCTCAAAAGACCTTACACATGTTCCAAATAATACATATATGTCCCGAAGAACCGCGTAGACCATCGACTCTTGGCATGCCAATTATACCCTAGCTCTCATGACACATAACATGGGCATCATCATTTATGTCATTTCATATTTTCACATAAACACGTAGTTCACTTTCACATAGCACGTAGATTATTCACATAAGTTGAATCACATATATGTATAAACACGTAAATCACTTTCACATATCACGTAGCTCATATCCACTTGTCATACTATTTCACATTTCCTTATCACATTGCTTATATCTTATTTTTATGTCTTATCATATAACTTCTCTTTTATATTCATATAATTTCTTATCATATCATATAGTTTATATCATCATAACATAGCATATATTCACATCAACCATGAAATACATATACAATAACATGTCAACACATACCATAACATATAACTCAGACACTCATAACAAACACATATTCATGTTCATGCTTCATGCACAATACTATAGAAAAAAAGACTTGTCGCAAGTCTTATTTCCCATTAAGCATCATATATAAAATAATGCGCACTCACCTTGGCCTCACTAAGTTCCAATCCATTTTTATAATTTCCTCTCTTGCGATCGAATCATAACTTGATAATCGTTCCGGGACTTGTTCGTGCTCGATTTCTATATAATCATACATTGATACATATTAATTTAGTTCCCATTAAGCATCATATATAAAATAATGCGCACTCACCTTGGGCCTCACTAAGTTCCAATCCTTTTTATAATTTCCTCTCTTGCGATCGAATCATAACTTGATAATCGTTCCGGGACTTGTTCGTGCTCGATTTCTATATAATCATACATTGATACATATTAATATCCAATTGATATACACTAATCTATCATTTCTTAGACCAAAAGAAAAGTATAATTCTATTTCCCTTGAAGTGCATCGATGCACTACCATGCATCGATACACAATCACCTTCGATGTTTCATTTTAAGGGGGTGCATCGATGCACTCCTTATGCATCGATGCACTAATTAATTCGATGTTTCCATTTTTAATGGGTGCATCAATGCACTTCCTGTGCATCGATACACACTGAACAATTCTGGAAATTTACCTTTGATGAATCGGTGCACATTGAATGTGCTTGATGCACATAGCCCAAAATTCATTTTTAAGCCTGAAAATCTACTCAAATCAACTCAAATGCTTCATCTTTCATCCCCTTTCATGTTCTCAACTCATATACACATGCTTAAACCAATTTATATCCATATAAACCATCTTTAACTTCAAAATTATATTCCTCATATGTAACTCAAGAATTAAACCAACTTTGCAATATGTTTTAATTCTAATTCTATGGCTTCTAACTTCTTAATTAGACCCTTGACAAGTCAAATTTAACTTCCAACTCTAGTTATGAACTTTATTTCAAGATTTCACCCAAGAACCTCAAATCATTAATCCCTCATAACTCCATCATACTTTGGTTTTAAGATAACTTAAGCTTTCCTTAAGCTTAGTTATCATCTAATAATCAAATCCTAACCTTAAAATCATCAATTAATCCATAAACAAAGAAACTCACCTTTGAGCTTGGAGATACGGGAGGAGGAAGAAGAAGAAAGAAAACTCTGGATAATTCTCTCCTTTCCCACGTGGTTCCTTTTCTTAAAAAGGAATATAAAAAATCTTACTTGTCAATTTGCCATTTTACCCTTTAATTCATTCAATAATTACTAAATAACCTTCATAATATTTTCAATAAATCATTGAACTATTCAATTATCCTACTTTAATCACCAATTTCTGAAACTTTACAATTTGGTCACTAACCCGGTATTGAGGATATTACATTTATATCCCTCCTAGACAGTCTACTAGGGTAAAAAAATAGCCTGCTTGGTTACATGATTATGTGCAGTCCTACCAATATTCCTCTCTTCCAGGTACTTATCCAATTTCTAATTTTCTTTCTTATTCTAATATTCCTGTTAAAACTCAACTTTACCTTTATTCTATCTCTTATTTAATTGAACCTAAGACTTATAATGAAGCCATTCAAAATCCTGAATGGATTAAAGCTATGAATGAGGAGATTTTAGCTTTGGAATCCAATAATACCTGGTTATTGGTTCCCCTGCCTTCTAATAAGACCCCCATTGGAAGTAAGTAGGTGTATCGCATCAAATATAATTCGAATGGAGAAGTGGAGAGATTTAAAGCTCGTCTCGTTGCTAAAGGATACACTCAAAGAGAAGTGGTTGATTATGTTGAGACCTTCTCACCTGTGGCAAAGATGGTCACTGTTAGAACAATCATGGCTCTTGCCTCTATTCATCAGCCTCTTTTTCAGATGGATGTATACAATGCATTCCTCCAAGGTGATTTAGTTGAGGAGGTATACATGTCCCTGCTTGAGGGTTTTTACAGTCAGGGGGAGACCAGAGTGTGCAGACTACAAAAATCCTTGTATGGACTGAAGTTGGCTTCAAGACAGTGGAACATGAAGCTGACAGAGGCTCTTCTAATGGAATAATATTCTCAAAGCAAGTTTGATTACTCATTGTTCACTAAGTCACAAGGAAGCAAAATAGTCATAATGCTCATATATGTGGATGATCTTTTGATAACTAGAAATGACAGTGGATTGATTGAAGAACTCAAAGGAATTCTGAATAAAAACTTCAAGATGAAAGATCTTGGTAAACTAAGGTATTTTCTTGGCTTAGAAATATTAAGATCAGAAAATGGAATAATTATAAGCCAAAGGAAGTATTATTGGAGTTAATTGAAGAAACTGGACTAGGGGGTGCAAGGCCTGCTGCAACTACCTTAGAATAGAAAAAAATATTGACTTCAGAAGATGAGTTATTAAAGGACAAGACAAGTTATCAAAGGTTGATTGGGAAGTTAATTTACCTCACCAACACAAGGTCTGATATTGCTTATTCAGTACAATTACTGAGTCAATTCATGCAGCAACCAAGGAAATTACACTCGGATGCAACTTTGAGGGTGATCAGGTATATCAAAAGCAGTCCAGGTCAGGAGTGTTGCTGAGTGCAGAAAGTCAGTGCCAACTTCAGGCTTTTTGTGATTCAGATTGGGCAACTTGCCCGATGACTAGGAGGTCAATAATAGGTTTCTGTGTGAAATTGGGGGACTCTTTGCTATCTTGGAAGTCCAAGAAACAAAATACAATTGCAAGGTCATATGCAGAGGCAGCATACCGTAGTATGGCAATGACTGCTGCAGACATAGTGTGGTTAACAGGTTTGCTGAGTGAACTTGGGTTTAAAAACAGAAGACCAGCAAAATTGATGTGTGATAACAAGACAACTCTTAAAATAACAGCAAATCTAGTTTTCCATGAAAGAACAAAACACATTGAAATTGATTGCCATTTTGTTCGAGAAAAAAATTCAAGAAGGAGTAATTGAAACAAAGTATGTGAAGACAACAGACCAGCAGACAGACATTCTAACAAAAGCTTTGGGAGTTCAACAATATGAATATTTGAGTTCCAAGTTGGGGTTAATTAACATCTTTAACCACCAACTTGAGGGGGAGTGTTAGTTTTCAGTTATTTAGTTAGTTAGGCTATTGTTAATCTGTTAGTTTGTTAGTTAGGTTAATAACTGCTAGTGGCTGTATATAAAGGCTTTAGTTTTGTAAACTATGTTTTATGATGAATAATATAGTTGGAGCACATTTTATGTAAATATACCTTTTTTAACACGTGAATTATTTTTGGCATTATGCCTTAAACTTTTATGAGTATAATTGTGTTTGTGAACAATTCCTACTAGGAAAGGGAAGGAAATTATACTTCTAATAAATATTAAATCTACAATCTAAGATAAAGAAAAAATGTGAACCGAAAACTTTTAATTACTTATTCTAGGAATTATTGACACGTAATTATATTTTTGATAAGCCCTTTTCAAAGCTTAATCTAGCAGTTACTGTCGCATTGTATTTTGCATTGGGGAAGTCAAAAGTGCAATTTTCCACATGCAATATATTTAATGTAAGAAAAGGACATTATAGTTTGGTAAATGGTTTGACCAAAGCCTTTATTGTGAACTAAAAAGTAAAATTAGTTAAAAACTTTTGAAGTATTTTGATACATGATTTTTTTAGTTTTGATTTTTTTAACTCAATAGTTTGACCAAAGTTATAATGATAAATTTTTTAATAATTTAAGGTGATTATCGGTAATATATTTTTAGAAAATTTTAAGTGTATTATCAATATATATACTTTATAGATGTAACTGACTAAATCCAAATTCTCAAATAATAATATATTTTATCATTAAAATCATTTAATATATTCATGTTGAGAGAACTATTGATGGAAAATGACAAAACTGCACTGATAATGTCGTGGAAATTTTTTTTTCGCGTATGATTTCCTACAAATTATTTTTTAAAGAAGGGTGATTGTTATAAGATCGCCTAAAAGACGCTAAGAATACAGTGCATATTCAGTTTTTTAGGAAAGACACATAGAGCACAGTGCATCTTCTCCAGGACCAATCAAATTTTCTTTTGTTTTACATTTCCATGCGTTTTGTCTGGAAAAACCGAAGACTTCTCCAGGACCAATCAAATTTTCTTTTGTTTTACATTTCCATGCGTTTTGTCTGGAAAAACCGAAGACGTATTACAGTTCATGCTTTTACTACAATCAAATTAAAAATATATAATACTCCATACGTTTTTCCTATTATACTGTAACGTTCATCTTAATCTAAGAAATAATTAATTTTAGTAAACTATGTTAAGAAATAATTAATGTTAGTAAACTACGTGAGAATTTTTTTAACACATTATCTCATCTATTTTGCCAATGGAAAAGTGATGTATATATATATATACATAATATTGAAAGAATTGTGTCTCATTGTTTTGGTCTGCTTTTTACCATTTTTGTGTCATAATAGTGGGAGCCAAATGGGGCATGCAGCCATGATGTGTGGTTTTTATTGGTTGCCACATCAAGTGGAAAGATTATGGATAAGTATGTCCAAAAGGATAAAAAATATTTTTATTTCAATATTATTACTTAATAATGCAATAATATACAATGGAACATAATATTCAATTATATAAAACTAATGAAAAATGTTATATAGAGTCTCTGATTTTAAATCATGGGTCTTATACGACATCACCCGTGACGTCATTTCCCCGACACATCTTGGACGGTTGAATCAACACTATCTTCCTTTTGGCACAATCTTCACCGTCCATATCCCCACAAACCCCACAAACATAACATTCCGAAACCATATATTATCATTTTTACATAAACCAAATTTTGGCCTTCTCTACACTTTTCATATTATTCCTTCACCAAAACACATCAAGAGAAACAAAGAGAGACACAAAAAACACAGAAGAAAGCATAAGGCGAGTAAATTTCAGGGTTTTCATAAGGCTAGTAAATTTCAGGGTTTTCACGTATCATTAACATAAGGAGTAGCGTCATGGATTCGAATCGTGACGAGTATAGCACGATTGATTTCGAAGAGACTGAGTTACGTTTAGGGTTGCCCGGAGGCGTTGAAAATGATAATGAAACGGCCAAAAATAATGGGAAAAGAGGGTACTCCGATATGGTTGATTTGAAGCTTAATCTTTCAACAACAGCAAAGGAAGCATTGCTGGATGAAGCTGAGAAGATGAAAGAGAAGAACAACGCTTCAAAGCCCCCTACAAAGTAAGCTACCATTATTATATATTTCCTCTAGCTTTTGCTGATTCAATATGTTTTCTTCATCTTGTTTCTCAATCTTCGTTTTCTATATTATTTGATTCACTATTTTGTAGAGAAAAAGAAAACGTAAAGTGAGCATGAGTATGTTTTTGAATGAAATAATTCATTTTCTGGGCGACGAAAAGTTTTCGTCGGTGAAAATTCTTTCTGGTACTGTTATTAATTGTTGAATGTTAGTTTGAACGTTAAAGAAGATGAGTTTTGATTGAATCTTGGCCTTCTAAAGTGGTGGAAACAGTTTTAAGTGGGATATTTGGTGGCTTTAATAGTTTGTCGGGTAAAAGAGGAAAAAAACAAAACATGTGGGAAACTTTTACTTCTTTTTCCCAGCAACCAAACAATAATTCAAAAGTTTAGCTAAGCTACCAAACTTTAGGTAAATGTCAATAATGAAGTCCTGCCAGATTCATATTTTCAATAGTTGATCTTACGGTAAATTTGAAAAATCTGATTTCAGGACACAAGTGGTCGGATGGCCACCGGTCCGGTCCTTCCGGAAAAACATCATGACGGTTCAGAAGAACAACTCCGGCGAGGACGAGAAAGCCGGGCGTGGAAGCAGCAGCAGCAGCACGACCACCAACGCCGCACCACCGGCCGCTTTAATTAAGGTTAGCATGGATGGTGCACCATATCTACGCAAGGTAGACTTGAAACTATACAAGAGTTACCAAGAACTATCAGATGCCTTGGGAAAAATGTTCAGCTCCTTCACTATTGGTAACTATGGAGGCTCACAAGAAATGAAAGATTTCATGAACGAAAGCAAATTGATAGATCTTTTAAATGGTTCTGAATATGTTCCTACATATGAAGATAAAGATGGAGATTGGATGCTTGTTGGTGATGTCCCATGGGAGTAAGTTAATTTTTAACTTCAATTAATATTTTTTAAGGTCACTTAAATGGTATCCCGATTATAGGGTGATGCTTTGTTGAGTCATCGATTATGAAAAGTTAGAAAATGATCTTCGACTATAGGACGTTGCTTTGTTGAGTTCCTCGACTATTAATAGTTATAAAATGTTCATCCGATTATTCATATGGTTAAATTCATCATTTTATATTTAAATTTTGATGGTCTTCTTAGCTAGACAATTAGATACTGAAAAGCTATCCCATAATTGTTTGAATTGTATAGTCGTTTGAGATTTTAAGATCATATTTTATCACATCTCAACCATTAGGTTAACGTCTAGCTCAAACTTCTGTCAATCTTTTATGAAAAAGGATGAGTTTGAAACATGATTAGTCAAGTGACTATTTTGTAAATAATCGAGGGACTCAACAAAGCATAACTCTATAGTCGAATAATTATTTTGTAACTTTTAATAGTCAATAACTCAACAAAGCAATGTTTATAGTTGATGGATCATTTATGTACTTTATCCTTTTTTTAATTAATTCCATGATCTAACTTATTTTCTACCATTATTTCAGGATGTTTGTTTATTCATGCAAACGTTTACGAATCATGAAAGGATCTGAAGCAATTGGACTTGGTTAGTTATTTGATTTTACACAATATCACGATAGTTTGATTTAAATCTATTTAATGATCGAATTATCTCTTTAATCAGTATGGAAAGAGATAAGTATGGACTCAATCTGACTATGATCCGATCGATGAATATTACTCGATTTTGAATTGATAAATTTTATATAAATATGCAAAAGTTTATCAGATGATTGATTAATTTTTCATTGGAACTGAAGCACCAAGAGCAGTGGAGAAGTGCAAGAACAGAAGCTGATGGTAGTTTCATTACACAACAATATCAGTTGAGAACCAAGTAAAACAGAACTTCAAACCGGTTCGAGAAGGATCTAGCAGGGAGTTTGAATGTGTTCATCATCATCATGAAAAGAAGAAGAAACTATTAAGAGACAAGAAATCAAAATGTCTATAAGACTTTGTTTTAATTTCTTCTGTCAATGCATGGCTTGTGTAATAATTAGTAACCTAAAATTATTATTAATGTTTTTAATTAGTTGTCTTGAGTTCTTTTTTTTCTTTTTTCCTTTTAATTCACTACTTATTTTGTAATATTTTTGCATGTGATTTCTTTTCTTTAATGTAATATTATATGAAAAGATTCTTGCAATATGCAATATTTTATTTAGGATGAATTTTTAATGTTTTATTGTAATTTGTTGAGGAGACAAATGAACAAGATCCATGAACAAAGTGATAAGGAAGACGGCAACGCCATGTGCGAATGGCTGGAACATTTAAGAATCAATTATTACTAATTTTTTAAACAATTTATTATTAGGATAAAATACACAGATGATTATATAATTATATGTTTTGTTGAGTTCATCAACTATTAAAAATTATAAAATGATCCATCGACTATAGTATATTCTTTTGTTGAGTCCACTGACTATTAAAAGGTATAAAATAATCAATTGATTATTCATATATTCTAAACTCGTCATTTCTATTAAAAACTTGACGAAAATTTGATCTTGACGTTAACCTACTGATTGTGATATGATAAAATATGATATCAAAATCTTAAATAAAATGAACGTCCAACTCGGATTGTCGTCAATTTTCTTAATAAAAAAGAACGACGAATAGTCGAAAAATTATTTTGTAACTTTTAATAACATGAAACTTAATAAAATAATACCTTATATTTAAAAAATTATTTTGTAACTCTTAACGGTCGACGATTCATCAAAATAATACCCAATAATCAGGATCATTTATGTACTTTCTCTTATTATTATTATTGGACCATACTCTGCTAGAAGAAATGCTCACCGGTAATGACTACAAGAGTTGCCAGCATCGCGGGGTCGGTAATTGTCGGAAATAGTTGAAGAGTTTAGCAGAATAAAAGTAAAATTTATAGAGGCCGTGGGCGGCAGGATTCGAACCTGCGCGGGCAAAGCCCACATGATTTCTAGTCATGCCCGATAACCACTCCGGCACGCTCACTTGCTGCCTTCACACTAACAATTTAGCACTTAGAACGCGTTTTAGCGCATCCTTGTTTTTTCTTCTTTTGGCAATCTGACTCCTAGTTTAAGCTTTTATAGAAAAACAAGTAACCAAACAATTGAAGTTGTTTAAATGCTAGAATTGGTTGGAAAAAAAACATCTTCCTTCAAGATATCTCCGACACGAAACTTGTGATTTGTGAAACGTGATTTTGTTCTTTCCATTTCTCAAAAGATTCCTTTAAATAAATGAATATATATATCCTTCATAAAACTCCAACTCACAAATTTAATTAGGGCTATGCATTGCTCGGGTAAAATCGATTTACCTAAAGGACTGAATTTTATTTTAATTTTAGTTCACAAACTAAAGATCATTAACTTGAACTTTGAACAAGTTTGTACGTTGTCTTATGATGCTAAGGAATGATATTGGTGAGTGAAGTTTTGAATGGAATAAATGCATGTTTAAAGGAAATTCTTAGGTTTTAGAGTTGATGTTAAGGTATAATTTGATTGATCCATATTCAATGGAATTTATAAATTATTGTATGTGAGTTTCTTATTTATTAACTATGCAGGTTGGGTGTAATTTGATATCAAAATTTATGTCTTGAAATTTCTTAATGAATAAGGAAGAAATTGTCTTTTTTGTGGCTTAAGGTAGTGCAACACAAGTGAAGAGTTTCGAAAGCACTCAAGGTAGGTCATATCACCAAGAATTTCAAAGCACTCAAGGTAGGTCATATCACCAAGAGTTTCAAAATCCTCTATTTGTAACACCCTTAACTCTATACGGGTAGTTCGATCTAATTCGAGGATCACATTAGAGTTGTCGGAACTATTTTTCGGTTGGGCCCCGGAATTGGGCTTCGACTTGAAAAATATGGATTGGAGTCGCCACCGACCACTTTAAAACGAATTTAGGTGGGTCGGACACCATCTTACCTGATCTGCGTTGTACCAGAAACGTGTCGGGTTCGGGAGTCGTTTACAGTCAAGGAAGGGTTAGCACCCTTGAACTGCCCTTTCGGTACCAATTAATTTGTCGATTGTCTTAATTGCGAAAATTAAAAAGTTTAAATTTAAATTTAAAAACCCGATTCAAATTACTTACCTTTGATCGATTGAACTTTGTCTAAAAAAAGTCGAAAAGATTAGATAAAAAAAACAAATAAATATTAAATAAAAAAATGATGAATTTAGGGGAAACAAGATAAAAAAAAGAAATAAAAGAAATAAACAAGTGAATAATAATGATAATAACAACAATAATAATAAATGTTAAATAAAACAAAAGCAATATGAAGAAAAATTAAAAATAATACAAGTAAAAATGATACGTAGATTAATGACCGCAATGAAAATATCCAAAACGTTTAGGCTCAAATCGAAATACCAGAAAGCTGCATTAATGGTCAAAGAGCATGACTATTAAATAAGGGGACTAAACTAGACATTTCCCATTTTTTCTCAAAAACACAGTGGGTTTTGGGCCAAAACGACGCAGTTTTGGTTAAGCTATTTAAGCCTAAAATCAGGCTTTTCTCACCCCATCTCCCCTCATTTGCTAGATTTCTCTCACTCTCCTCTGATGATATCTCTCTCCCTTCTCTCTAGACTCGACCAAGGTCCGGTCACCGCCCGGTGACCTCTCTCCACCGCACTGCCACCTCCCCGACCGCCGCGGCCGGGCGAAACCCAAAACATCCCGAGACACTCACCTTCCCCCCTCGAGATTCTAAATCTGAACCCCAAAACGTTAAACTCAAGCCGTCCCGGCGTAGATCTAGCAAACAAGGCTCGGCTTTTTACCTTCTTCCGACGGTCTCTTCAACTTCCTGTGACCGTGTTGCTGTTTTTGCTTGGATTTTTTTACTTTGCTTTGTTGTGGGGCTTCGGCCTTTGGTTTACGTTTCGATTTGGTTTTTCGTTGGCTATAGTGGTTCGGTTTTGCTATTGTGGTTCTGTTGGTTTTTTGTTCGATGTGTGGTACGATGGTGGTTCTGGTACGGTGTTGGAACTGTGGTTGGCCGCTCTTGTGGCTTGTTGGCCTGATGGTTCTTGGTTGTTTACTAATGATGGTCGGTGTATCGTTGTTGGTACTGTTTGGGTTCTCTGTATCGATGATCTACTGTGTTGACCGATATTGTGGTCTCGGTTTTTGGCTCTCTGTTTCTGTCCTCCTTTTTTCCGTTCATGGTTCTCTGGGGGTCTTTATATAGCCCCATTAGGGGCTGTTTCCGGCTATTTCTGGGGTGATCCCGGATATTCGGGGGTCATTTGTTGTGGACCGTTGTGAGCCTCGTTCTTCGCCGACCGTTTCGCCGGTTACTCCCTGTTTGACTGACCATGTGCGTGGACTCCACATTTGTCCCATGCGGCGCCACTGCCTAGTGCTCTGTGAGAACCCTAAAGGGTTCAGACTGGTTCAGGCCCACCCAGTCCGGGCCTGCTGGATCAGGCTTGCCCGGTTGGGTTCACTGCTGGACTTTTATTTGAATATGGACTGAAAAAAAAGAAAGAAACAAAAGTAAAAAGAATTAGTAATAAATAAAAATAATAATAATAAGAGTAATGGCAATAATATATATTCTAAAATATATAATATATATATTTCAAAAATTATTTTAAAATATTATATATGTTTTTTTCAAAAAAAATGTTTTTAAAATTATATATTATATAATTTTCCAAAAAATGATTTTTAAAACTATATATTATATCATTTTTCAAAAATATTTAAAAAACTATATACTATATAAGTTTTCAAATTATTTTAAAAACTATATAATATATAAATGTTTTCAAAAATGTTTTCAAAACTATATATTATATATATTTAAAAATATTTTCAAAAATTATATAAAATTTTCAAAAAAAATGTTTTCTGAAAATTATATATTATATTTTGTCAAAAACCTTTTCACAACGTATTACTATATACTTATATGTATATATAATATATAAAAATAATAATAATAACTCCGGGCGAAAATGAGTTCTACAGCTGCCCCTCTTTGTTCTTTTTCGTGAAACGAAAAATAGGACAAAGATAAAAAGACGCAGATTTTCGTCTGGTGGAGTTGAAGATTAAATAGAATAACTCCCTGTCGAATTGGGTTGCGGATGGCTCCTCCGTCGCGAAGTCGAGTCCATCTTGAAATGATATGGAATTGAAACCGTAATTCGATATTTGAATCGGGATACATCTTCTTGTTGCCCAATTGTAGTCAACCTCAGTCTTCTCCTCGGTTTAAAGACCTTTGTTAAAAATTCGACTGGAAAGTAATTCTTTAATTCAACTGTGTGGTTGGCAGGCCCTCGAGCTGAATGAAATTGAACTCGAAAGGTCTTCGTTGATAGATAGTTTTTCTCGACTTAAGCTACGCTGCCAGAAAACGGTTTCTTGTCACTAAGGCACGGTTAACCCGGTTCTTCTTCTCGACTTGAAAACCTCGATTGTAACCGGACAATAGTGTGATGTGTCATCGAGCTGAATGGAATCAAACTCGACAATTTTATTTACAGATGGCCCTTCTTGCCTTGAGCTTGTAAGCTTGATTTGCCTCTAAGTTGAGTATAATCGAACTCGAAGGTCTTTTGGTGAAAGATAACCCTTCTAACCTTGAGTTATGCTGTAAATGATGTGCCCTCAAAGCTGAGTGTAATCGAACTTGGGGGGTCTTTGGCAGATAGCCCTTCTCGAATTAAGCTATGCTGCAAATGATGTGTCGTTGAGCTGAGTGTAATCGAACTCGGGGGTCTTTGGCAGATAGCCCTTCTCGACTTAAGCTA